ATCAATCAATCAATCAATCAATCAATCAATCAATCAATCAATCAATCGACAATCAATCAATCAATCAATCAATCAATCAATCAATCAATCAATCAATCAATCAATTTTTATTTCTTTATTTTGTTTTTTTTTCCTATTTTGATGATTTTTTATTTTAATATAAAAGAAAACGAAAAAATAAAATTAAAAATATGGGGGTGTAGAGCACGAAAAGCTCTACACCCCCATATATATATTTCTTTTCTTTTGTTTTTGGAGAGGTTTCGTCGGTTTGTACGGGACCGTTCATACGGCCGTACGACTGTTCGTACGGCCGTACAAGCGGAGCCCCGTACGACATACGGCGTGTTACATAGGTCTATTCCACTAATAGGCTGAAACTCTTATTCGACGCATGCCTTCACCACTCAGAAAAACGCGGTTCCTTGGGGATTAAGAGAAATTGGTTGGAGCCACAAGGACGCCATAAGGAAATCTCCTTGCGCCATTTTCACTTTTTTTCCCGAAATCGTCCTCGAGGATAGGCGGAACGAGCGTGTCCTTGTGGATGTTGCATCCCCAAGGGGTGTCTAACGACGCCCTAAGTTCATCAACATGGGTAACTTGGTTGCTATAAGTCACAGGAGACTGGCAAGAGGGTCCTTCTGTGGTAGGAGCGCCACAGTTAAGTGCCCTCTTCAGACTCTTCGGAATGCCATTGTAGGGAGTGGAGAGAGAGCAAGTAGCGAGATAGTAAGAATCGACAATGATAGGTGCAATAATCCCATGGAATGCCTTTAGACAGGAATGTAGGACTCAAGGTATATATTGATACGATTGGAGGATATGTAGCTAGCTGTAAAGATTGGTTGGGCATTCTCTTAAGCCCTGAAAGGATATAATAGGAATTGGTTTTTTTGTTGGATGGTAATATTGGAAGGATTGTTAGGCCTTAAAGCCTTGTAGAAAGATTTTGTTATCCTATGGTTTGTTTGGCTTTGCTGCCTTGTGTTTTTTTTTTCCCTTTTCCCCAGGGTCGGAAATTGTCAGGACATCGGTCTAGATTTGGCCATATTGTCGATGGACTAGAATTCCCAATGCCTGCACCTACGTTGGGTAGTGGTCCCAATACTTTCTTCCTTTTCTGGGTTGTTCTTGGAGGGATTCCCGGCCTTCTTGTTCCATGGTAATAAAATTTGAAAAAAAAAGTTGTTCAATTTATTTTTGTGCATAACATACGGCCTCGTTAGACACTCCTCAGGGCATCCTTGGGCTCCGAGGATGAATCCTCGTGGAAATTTTGAAACTTTGGCGGCGGCGTTCCACCTATCTTTAGGGAATGGCTCGGAGGACGAATCCTCGAGGACTTCCCGTGGCCAAGTTTTCACGAATATACACGGTTGAGTGAGGTGTGTCCATGGTACGGTTTTATATGTCTGCTGAAGAGGCATGTTGGTCCACAGACGACGGGGGTGAATACATGGGGGGGCGAAAAAAAAAAAAAAAAAAAAAAAAAGAGGTGGGAATGTCCCCGTCCAAAATTTGAAATTCGAGTTCCAGCGAGTGATGACAACTAGGCGGCACACAAGCATTCACAGCACGGCGGCTAGGCAGTGGATATGTTGTTTTCCTCGCCATCCGTTTCACGTCGTCTCCTTCTCACCCCATTGAGTGATGGTGACTCCACGCAGTGTGTGGTGAAAAATGTGTTCTGCGAGGAGGTCAGTCGTCAGGTCAGCTCCTTGAGTGACATCGCGTGACAACTTGGAGCGGGAGCTTCGGTGGGCGAAGACCTCCATTGTGCCATCATTCGTTTCGGTCGCCCTGCGCATGCGTAAAGTGCAGCTGACATGGCGCGTGGACATGGACGCTGAGGATGTGCGTACACAAGGAAGGAGGCAGGCTTGCGGGTGACCACGTCTTTTCAAAGTCCGTGGGAAACTTGAATAGAGGGTGTGGATAGGCTTGGGGGTGGTCGGGTGTCGGGGATACCCCCCATTCAGAAAACAAAAGAGATATATATTACATACATACATATATCGTCACAAATATATTAGGGCCCGGGACACTGGATGTAAGACTCCGTTGCACGCCGTTCGCGTTCACCGGCAAACGTGAACACGTTTACCCGAACGTGTTCGGGCCTGAAAATCTGGCGAACGCAAACGTTGTTTTTTTTTTTTTTTTTTTTTGAAGAGGAGGGAGGGGCGGTCGGGGGCATGTGCTTGTGTCCCGGAACCCCCCGCCACTGCTCTAAGATGCGTGAATGGTGAAAAGAGCCCCCGTCTGTGTGTGTGTGTGTGTGTGTGTGTGTGTGTGTGTGTGTGTGTGTGTGTGTGTTAAATATGACGAGGAGGAGGAGGAGGAGGAGGAAAAGAAGAAGAAGAAGAAGAAGAAGAAGAAGAAGAAGAAGAAGAAGAAGAAGAAGAAGAAGAAGATTAAAAAAAACGAAAAACAAAAGTCCGCGCATGCTGATGCGGCAGCCGCGCGACAACAATCGGACTTGACGAGGAGGATGAGATCGAGGTGGTGGAGGAGGAGGAGGAGGAGGACGGCGACGACAAGGAGTAGGAGGAAAAAAGAAGAAAAATAAGATTTTGAAGAAGAAGAAGAAGAAGAAGATGCGACGAAGAAGAGAGGAAGAAGACGAAGATTAAAAAAAATGAAAAAAAAAAAAGGTCGACCGTGCCGACGTGGCAGCCGCGGGACGACGGTCGGACTTGACGAGTAGGAGGAGATGAAGGATGTGGATGAGGACGTCGGGACGAGGAGGAGGAGGAAGAGGAGGAGGAGGAGGACGACGAGGGGGAGTAGGAGGAAAAGAAGAGGAAGAAGAAGAAGAAGAAGAAGAAGAAGAAGAAGAAGAAGAAGAAGAAGAAGAAGAAGAAGAGAGGAAGAAGAAGAAGATTAAAAAAAAAACGGAAAAAAAAACGTCGCGCGTGCTGACGTGGCAGCCGCGCGATGATGATCGAACTTGACGAGGAGGAGATGGAGGAGGTGGAGGAGGAGGAGGAGGAGGAGGAGGATTACGTTACAGCGATAGACGACCAACATGGCAGCAGCTGGAGCGCGAGGCCATGTGAGGGCAGTTTCAAATGATTCAAATTTGAAACTGACCCTTCCCCCACCCGCTCCTCTACCTTGACCCGATTCTCACGCCCGTGCCACCCCCAACGGACGACCACCGACACTCTCAGGCCCTCCGAAA